CCCAAGATTTCCTGTGAGAGTTGGGGGTGGGGGGTGGTCGTCTCTGTATTCCAGGGGAGTGTTTGGTTCCAGGAGGCACTCACTGTGATCTCTCTTACGAAGTACAGTTGCTGCTTTTGCCCATTTTGCCCATTTTTCCTCCCATTTCCCTTCTGTACCATGACTGGAGCTTACTGGATTGCTTTCCCTACTTCTTGGGAGCCCAGAGCCAGTGGGTGCTGCGAGAGCCAGGAGCGCCCCATTCCCTGCTGGGACCAGGGCTGCCTTRTCTGCACAGCCCAGATGCAGGGACCAGCCATCGCCGGAGAGCCACCCAGGGAGTAATCCCGTGCTCAGCTCCCGCTCTTCTCTGCCACTGTTTCTGGGTTTCTCCACACCCTCGCCTGCTGGGACCCACCACGGCTCCTGCCACAGCTGCGGAGTTTCTGTCATCTCTTGCTCGCTGTAGTGAGCCCTTCCACCCCAGCCGCCAGTGCGAGGTTCCTGCTGCAGCCATTGCACCATCCAGGCTGTCCGCCATTACCGCGTGAGGGAGAGCGCCTGAACAGCGCCCCCTGCCGGCGTGGAGGAATCACCGCCCACCAGGAGCCCCCAGTGCCCCTGGCCGGCCGTGACTGGAACTGCACCAGAGGGAGGGCAGGACACAGAGGGGGCTGTCACTGAATTGTTCATTTGTTTGGTATGGCTGCTGTTGTTGTTTGYTTGCTTTATTATATGTACTACTAAAGAACTGTTATTCCTTTTCCCGTGTTTTTACCTGAAAGCCCTGTGATTTCGAAGTGATAATTATTCAGACAGAAGGGGGATCGTATTTTCCACTTCAAAGGACGTCCCTGCCTTCCTTGACAGATGCCTGTCTTTCAAACCCAGATGTATGATCACTTACACCAAAGTCACAGTTACTGTTTATTTCTGTAATCCGTTCTCTTTTCTTTTACCAATGTGAAGTCAAATACACARCTTCTCTTTTTTGAATTTAGTTACTTTGTAAATTCAGAGGACCCTTAATTGCTTTCAGAAAAACACCTTYAGTACATGGCACTTAGCAGCAATTTTATCCATCTAAAATATTTGGCTAAATTTCCAACACATTTTATTTCTTACTAACTGAGTATTATTCTGATCTAAGATACAAAAGAAAAATAGTATATATAAATATTAGAAAGCTGAACCATGGAATATATGTTGTTAAGATAACTGCAGAAAATCACCTCCATCTCTCTGCTACGCTCTCTCTGGCCACGCTCTTTTTGATACAGCCCAGGACAGGCTTTCTGGCTTTTCTTGGCTTTCTGGGCTATGAGTGCACACGGATGGGTTGTGTCCATGTTCTCATCCATGAGCACCCCCCAATCTCAAGCCCTTTATCCCCTMGTTTTTAAGATAAAACAGTTTCAACTAACTGGCCTAGTTAACTTAAGTCTAAGTACATTGGTGAAAATGTCATGCTTTCTACTCCACTAGTATTCATTGTAATAAAAGTTGGAAAATTACAAGAATTCAAACAACGGAACTACTATGTTATAGTCCAGTCTTGATGATAGGTATCAGTCTTGATGATGTAGAGAACTGGTAGCAAGTTAGCTTTCCTTCGCTTCTAACCAATTACAATAGAATGGTTTGGTATACTGTTCAGGAAAAAAAATACTGAAGTTGAAGTTCTTGTTAGTTAGTTTTGCTACCTAGTTAGTAGATGGTAGGTAACTATATTACCTTTTGGGAAAGCTGGAGGCAGAAAATGACACGATACAGATTCAGAAATTGTTGACTTTTGGATTTAGGCATATAACTGAGCTTCTGCAGTACTTATAGTACAGGTAGGTTTGTTTCAAGAATTTATTTGAAAGGCAGTGACTTTTTGTTTTTTTAATTCCTTCTATGAAAGTAATAGAGTAGGTAAGAACAGAGTATTACAAATAATTCAAATTTAATACCTAAGTTGTCACAATACAATAAAAACACTCTTGTAATATAACTGAATGCTGTGTTCTGTATGTTCTTTATGTTCCTTACATTCCTTTTTGAGTTAGGAATCAAGTACACCACCAGCAGAGAACTGCAGGAAAGCTGAACCCTATTAGTGTATCTGATCCTGAAGTCCGTGCTCAGAAGGGCTGAGGAAATATTGCTCAAAATTCTGAAGTTTACAGAAGTGATTGAACTAGCAGAACATTCTTTCTTCTAAAAAGAACTAATTTTAAAAAAGTATTAATTAATCTGCCAAAGAGAAGCCAGAGTGGTGACCGTAATTAGCAATGGAGAGCTGTTCTTTCTTGATTGTGCATTCAAATAATTTATTAGGAAAGCCGATGCCTTCACCATGCATGGTGTCTTTAGGATGTAACTAGATTTCAGCCCAGTTACCTAGGTGCTCAGAGTTCTTGACTTGTGGAGTTCCTATTAGTTCACTGTTCACAGTCCTATCAAACCAAGGCACAGCTGAACCAGAAATTCAAAAGGAATCCTAAACTTATTTCACTATAAACTTATTTCACTATTTCATTTCATTGATCTGAGTAGAATATGAAATTCATGGAGTTGTGAACCATTTGGCTAGATCCTTTTCAAACTTCTGCAGAGGAAGGTTACATTTGCTCTGGCAGTACCTCTGTGTGTAGAGAGAGGAAGAATAGTTTCTAGTATGCAGGAACTTGAAAGAAGAGGAAGAAGCAGGAGCAAGTAGAGGAGGGCCTGCTGTCTGGCTGTGGAATCAAGGGAGCAATGAGACAAGGATGGAGCAGAGAGGGCAGTGCTTTTCTAGCAAATGAATCTTTTCAGGGATAGCAGGCATCTACGTAATTGATTACAAGACAGCAGCTATGTTGTGTGAAACCTGAATGCAAATTTTACTGCATGCAATGTTTCAAGGTGAAAGGGACAGGTACAGACGGTCATTGCTTACTTTATTTCTACTCTGCCGTATCAGTTTGACATTTTCCAGTTTACAAAGTGAGGATTCTAGTTCTAGTTTCTAGTTCTGTTCCAGTGAATGTGGTTTGTGAATATAGTCTGGCTTTCCTATCAGCCAGTTCTCGTGACTTCTGCTTCAGCATGAAGCCTTTTTGGATTGCCTTTCTCATCAACCTAATTGGTAAAGTGAGGCTAGGAATAAAAAATATATGAAGTATAGAGTCTGTAAAGAGCCAAGTATAAAAATTGTTTATTGATCTAGTACTGATTGTAGGAAGGGCTTGGAAAAAAATGTCGGTGTTAGATTTTCTGAGAATTAAGACCTCCTGTGGTCTGTGCAAAAAGTTCTTTCCAGTGGTGAAAAAAGGGGTGGGGGAACTGAATAGTTGTCACAAATTAGGGCAATAGTGTTTAGCTAACAAAGAGAAAGAGTGAGTGGGTCCCTCTTGCAGGAAACTTCTGATGTGCTAGGCTCTGCTACTCCCCTGTGTCTTTTGTAACCCACTCTCTGTGTTGCTGTTGCTGTCTGACACTAAGTATTCAAAACATGCAACCTTTTATTGACACATGTTCCTAGTGCAACTTCAATAATAAAATGTTGCAGGATACTGTATTAGTATTGTAATGCAGCTTGTTTGCAGTGCTGTCCCCAATTTATAGAAAAACAATGAAATTACTTGGATTAAAAATCTTTTTCCCCCCTATGATTTTCTTCTCAGGTAGAAAGGTAAACTTGTAGTTTTATGTAAAAACTGCTAATCTGGTTTAGTGTAGCCTCTGCCATTCTGTTGAAAATTAAGACCTGCTGCTGTGGTTGACTGAAGACCTGCTGCTGTGGTTGACTGAAGAACTTACAGTGACAGTCTTCTTTGCTAGTGCTTTTCACAAGATCTGTATTTGTGCCTACATTCAAATGACAATGAAAATCAAAAGTAGTCATCACTCAATAGTTCCAAGTCTTTTGCTTAAAAAAGGCTGTAGTCAATAATGGTATTACAGATGTAAACGGAGGTACATGAAACAACTGCAGGAAAATTCTTGTGTCATGTTCCTGCATTGTTATAATTTCTGCACTTCATTGACTGATGAATTCTGAACCAATCAGAACTTAATTGAAAATTTAAAATAAAAAAATAAAAAAAAGAAGAAAGTGTAAAATAGAAATTCTAACACCAGAAAAACTTGAAGCAATTATCAGTTCTTTTCCACAGGTAAAGATTCCATTAGCTAGACACAAATAGGAACAAGCTGAAATGAAATTTAAATTAAATTCACAAAACAGCTTTTTGTATTGAGGGATGTTAAGAAGTAGTTGCCCAGAGACACTGTAGAGTCTCCATTTTTGGATATTCAATGCCTGACTGGACAGTGCTCCCAGCAGCGTGCTGTGTTTGGCCCTCATTTGAACAAGGAACTCGGACTGGGTGATCTTCAGAGGTCCCTTACAACCTGTGATCCTGTGAGGACAAATATTTCATTTGATATTGACATAATGACCTGGAAATTTTAGTTTCTTCTTTCTAGTTATCACATGAAGTTTTTGTAAAACTTGTAAAATGAAATTTTTGTATCGTATCTCATAATATATGCTTATATGCATTTCATATCTTTGTCGCTGAACAATTGCATTGCTCGTTGCTGAACAACTGCATTGCTTGTCCAACTGAAAAATCCAGAATACTAAGATTTATTACATGAGAAGACAGAATTTTATGACACATGCAGTATTTATTTTGGAGTGCCTCTGTTTCAGATTCTCTTTGTGTGGTTCTCATTGCTAAATACTCAAATGTTAATGTAAAATTTATTTGGGATTCCTTGTTTTATTATTTATTTCCTTAACATATTTCTAATGGGGTCTTAGTGGGGTCTAATGGGGTAAGACATATGCCAGTGTTCTCTTGTTATTCCTGCCAATGAAAATACGGGCTTTCTGAGGTCAAAAATTATTATTAAGCCATCTTCTTAGCATCAATGAGTCTGTACCTTCCCTTTGTGTGTATCAAAAATCTACTGCCCATTAACTTTGCTAAGGTTGGTCTGAGTGGTTTTACATCTCATTATATTCTTGTAAATACTTCTTTTTCCAGTGAGGAGCTACGAAAGGAAGCACGACAGCTGAAACGTGAACTGCTGGAAGCAAAGCAGAAGAAAGAAGAAAGAGCTTTAAGACCCAAAGAGAAAGAAGGTAAGAAGTTTTGTGAAGATCTCCAGTTAACATTCTGTTTTGTGTTTTATGTACATAAATGTGGGCACAAGATTTTTTTTCTTTGCTTAGGAGTGGTAGTAATGTAATCATGCCGGTACGTAAGGAAATTGTATAGCTAGCCTTTGTTCCTTCAAATCAGGTAGTATATGTTGTCACTGTCCTTTAGTTAAATCTGTACTGTGACCTCTCACTTGTAAAGTCTTCTTGACATTCTGTCTCGGAAAGATGCTTAAAGGCAGCTGGTTAACTTGGAACTCAAAGCTACTGACTTCAAACTTTAATGTGTCTTAAGACACCAATGGAACTCAAATTCAGGAAGTCACTACCGTATTTATTTTCTCTAAACCTTAGGAAAATGGGATCTTCAGCCCCCATTTCTTTATCAAACAGTGTTATAGCCTGTTTCTTTTTAAATGTGTATCAATTGCTGAATTTGTTATAGTAAGTAAGGTGTTTGTTTTAATCTGGATGGATGTAACACCCTTTATTAGCTAAACTGTAGAAACAAAAAACACTGGTCTTTAAACCCTCTGAAGTTGCAAGACACATTTTTAGAGTGGATTCTTAATTCAGTAATCAATATCATACAAATCTGAAAGAAAATACAATTTTTTTTTWAAAAAATCAGATAACACACAATTTATAAGAGTGGTAGAAAGTGTAACATAATTTTTAGAAAAACTTAGGGACTCTCTTGAATAACAGGTAAGCTTGATAAGCAGCATTTTAGCAAAATTTAAAATACAGTATTGTGAACTTGTATATGAAATCTGGCACCAAATGTTAAAAACTGCTGACACTGAAAATTTTCTAGTAATCACTGAATGAATATAAACTCTCATTGGCAAAATAATGAATGCTGTCACTAACCATATAAAAAAAGAACTGTGAGGTCTAGAAAAGGTAAAATGTGGTCCTTATGTACATGTATAAGTTACTTTGAATAGTGCTATGTATGGCAGCTCCTACACTATTGCTTAAATTTACCCCTGTTCTGGTCTCAGTTAAGTCAGTGGACTTCATAATTTGAGGAAATCTACCTTTACAGTGACAGACTAAAGTAGTATTTGGGTAATACTCATAGTTACTACTATGGTACGGTTTGGAAAGATACCTTTTATTTAAGTCAAGGGAGCTTATATACCAGGGCTGGTGGGGGGAGTTGTACTTTCTTTGAGATAAAATAGCAGGCAGGACATAAAGCAGTTGAAAATCTGCAGGTAACAGTCAATGGTAACGATGATATTGAATAATCTTGGGTTTCCTTTTTGTGATGGGAAGCAGTCTGTTCCAGTAGCTGTTGAGAAGGATATATGGCAGGAAAGAACCTATTCAACTAGTTACTGGCATACCTAACAAAAAAATCTAAAATAAACATGCTCTAAAATTTAAGGCAACATTTAAAGGATGTTAAATGAGATGCAAGTAGTGAAGGGTAAAATGATTAATGAAAATACAGTGAAAGATTTCAGGTTTGTACTAGAAAACAAACTGAACATGAATTTGCATTGTGATGTAGCTGTCACTGTGTGATTGTTGCTGCAAATGCAATAACTGTAAAAGTTCATTTTCATTATTGCTCTCAGTTCCAAGTATTGCTTTCAGTAACAACAAAAAAGATAATGAACAATTTGGTAAAAATGTACAAACCCACCCAAAACTAGCAGAACACTATGTGGACTAGTTTATTAGGAGATACTTGAAGATATGTGTAATTTATGTAGGGAGTGGTATGGAAGGGTAGAATCTTGATTATTTAAAGATAGTAAGTCAAAGGAATGAAGCATATCTTTATTGTGAAAAAGAATTTACAACCGAGGAATAATAGAATAGACTTTAGAAGTACTTTATCTTGAATATAATGCACTCTAGCAGAAGTGTTGTACCGAATAAATAATTTTGCCCCAAAGTTAGAAGCATTTCATATATCTCACTTAGTTCACCTAGTCAGTTTATATTTATTGCCTTGAATTTTCATCAGTGCAGTAGAGCTATCAACATGAAAGACAATCCGCTAAAAGTGTAATAGCTTACCTATTCCACATAAGTTTACATATAAGAAATTGTATATAGCTAAAAGGATACTTCTATCAGGAAATTGATGTGTAAGGAGCAGTAGGTTTTCCTATTGTTCCCTGGCCATCCTCTTGGAGAATGTGGGATGGAGAGTGAGCTGTCATACTATCTCAGGTATGTCTGTGCAGATGGTGCAGACACTTGCAGTGTGTCTGCCTATGCCTTGAGCTGGTTGCCTTAGGAAAAAATGTTAGTTTAGAGGCTGTGTAACCACATCAATATGATTCTGTGCTCGATTAATAAACACTGCATCTCAGCCAAAACTTGCAGACATAGTGGGAGAAATTCACTGAAGATCACAGAATGGTGAGAATAAGGCTTAGGTCATACTGGGCAGGATTGGGTCTAATTCTGAGAGGATGCTAAGGAGGGGGTGGCAGCATGACATATCTATTTTATGTCCACTAGCACAGATCTTTATTGGTATTGGCATCACAGTTAGTATCACTTCAAATTGTTCATATTATTCTTACCTAATATTTTTCCATATTGAGATTAGATTAATTAAGAAAGACTGGAGAGTGAAACTTTAAGTGTTTACATTGTTTCAAGAGGTCAGAGAAAAAAAATTATTCTCTCCTTACATGTTTGATTATAACCAGTCTTCCAGTTTCTGAACAGTATTGTTGACTATGCCAGACTGCTGTCAAGACCTTACTTTTAAATAAGATGTTTTTCTTTTATGTGACATTTGTGGTAGTGATGCCAGAAATTACATCAAACACTATAATTTGAGTGCWGAATTACTTCAACATTTTGAAGTACTTGGTCAAATATTCGAGAAAGATACACTTTTCAAAGTTCTTTACAGTAAGCCTGGGAATGTACTTCAGTAAAATCTGCTTTAGACTTACAGCATTGGCCCAGATGTTAAACTATATGTTGGTTTTAAATAGCAGTAGTATTTAGGAAGTAATACTTTAGTTTTTCTTGTTAGAACATTTTTGTAAGCTGTCAAATAATCTGTGGACAATGAAATTTAATTGTCATACATGAGAAAACAGAAAAGCTGTAAAACACTGAGCAGGGAAACCTAACAACTAATGGAAAAAACAACACTGAAGGGTAAGAATTCTACCAAGGCATGCAGTATTTTCTGCCTCATTTTTAATTGTGGTATGGTAACCAAATGACTGAAATGTTTAGAAAATTCTCAAAATCAAGTGAGAATGCCAATATAAGATTATATTTTATTTATGTTTTATTACTAAGTTTGGGTAATGTCAGGAGCACTCAAAGAATTAAGCCCTGTCTTACATGGAAAAATGCTTTCTTGAAGTCTGGAACTTTAACAGAATTTTTTCCCTTCAGAACATTGTGAAAATAACATCCAAATTTTGATAATTTGGGAACTTTGCCGTATAAATGCATTAAGTGTAAACATTTTTTCCAGTATATACAGCAGAGCTACATTGTATCAGAGTATCCTTCTTGAATGTGTCATCTTTGCAAAACTTTGTTTTCTTCCACTATCTACATGGTTTTTTACATTTAATCTCCTATACCCAGCATCCCTTTCAGTCCCTTTCCTGCTAAAGTGAATGCTTTTTTACCTCTTGCCTCGCTCTCTGCAGAAGAGGACAAAACTTCACTGTAAACCAGTTTCAAAGTAATCTGAAGCATGTACTCAAAATCCACTGACATTTGAAAATTAACTGCATTTTAGACTAAGACCATGTGCCTAAAAGCTACCGAAGTTCAGAAAGTATTTACTAGAAACTTGCAGTTCACTGTTTTGCAAATCTACTCTCATCTTTCAAATAAGTGTTTTGAGGCTCTAGGAATTACTTCTAAGCTTTTATTATTTGAGTTGGCTAAATGAACTAGTAAGTTTGTTCTAGAACTGTTGCTCTTTTCACTGTAACAAACTGAAAATCCAGTAATCAGTCCAATCCTGGAAGCTCATTCTGTAAGCAAATCTATTCAGTTGTTCACAGTTGCTAAATATTTCCTGACTCTTACCTAACTTCTTGGCAATCAGTGGCTCTAGGATCTTAGGCTGGCCAGAGCTATAGTAGCAGTTACGGAACAGTTCTTGAAGGTGCAGAGAAAACCACAAGTAGACCTAGTCCTATGCAAAAGTAAACAGGAGAGGATGTTACAGGTTTTTTCAAGCATAAAATTATTTCATATTGTTTTTCTTGTGTATTAATTTGTGCACTACTTTACACTAAACTGTGTTGTAAGTTTCATATACATAGTATTTAAAGCTGTAATAAATTCTTCTCCTGARTTCTGGAAGAAGTGAGTTGATTCTCTTGGTTATTATTTATCAAAACTGTCTCTAAGTTCTGTATTTGTACCTTCTGATAGGAATTCCATCTTTAGTACCTGAAATATTACAGCAGATTGGAATTCCTTATGTAATTTGTAAACGAAACCAACTCTCTTAAGRTTTCGATCTCAGTAAGATTTTTAAAATCAGTACTACATACCTCTGCAATTCCACAAGAATGCAATATAAGCTGGATATTGATGAGCTGAAARTGGAATATACTGAACTAACACAGGAATGTGGTTTGGGCTTCATCAAAACATTCAATCATAATTTCTTTCACTTCAAACAAGAAGTTTTTGAGATTTTTTTTTTCCCCTTTGGTATTTTTACAAGCTATGCCACACATTTCTTGAAATTTCTGTCCATGAGGTCTTTTATCATATGAAATGTGTCATCTGAGTTGCTAAAGAATACGTTATGGATACTGAAGAAAATTTATGGGCCCTCTGCATTTGAAACATACACAAACCCTGCTAAATAAACAGGGATGCCTTTTAATATAGGTATCTTTGTACACTTTCCTTGTTATCTTACCTCAGTACTTCATGAACTCATGATTATATGTGAAAATTGCATTACCAGAGTTAATGGGATTACTATTGTGAACTTTAGCATATCAGGAATGTTTTATAATGTAAGATATTCAGGTGTGTGTAAACATTACTTGCTAGGTGTACCTCATCAAGGAAATATCATAAACCAGTCTTTAATTGACCCTTTTTGATGCTATAGGCTCTTTCTTTTTTATGGTGACATTAAACCTTCAGAATCAGCATGCATTTTTCTCTGTCACAATATGTATTCTTTCTACCCTTCAGAAGTTTTGTGTGTTTCCAGTAATACCTTCAACAAGCCAAATTCCTTTTTTTTCCAACAACTATTTTATGTTCAGTATCTCCTTCAGCTTCAGTATCTCCTTCAAAAAAAGGAAATAAAATATATGGGATTTTATACAGAGTCTAATTACAGGGATAGTAATTTCTACAAAGTTTGTAAAACAAAACGTTCGTATTGCAGAAATCTGTATGTATACCTCTCAGACCTGCATTTGTGTGAAATCATACTTACCTGTTGCACAGCTGGTGGACTTGTTAAGGCAAAGTTACTCTACCTGTAGTGCTGAAAACAGAGCCCAGTCAGTAAGGGCAATATGAGCGTAAGCAGTGAATGTGCTTTTCTGGTCTACCAACAGGCAGCTGAATTAGAATTCATATTTCTTGGTTTCTATAAAGTGGAAGATAAAATTATAGTTTCAAAAATAGAGCACTTCTGATACAACTTTTGTTGAGTATTTGTTACGCTGTTAAATTTACTGGATGCTTTAGGAATTAAGCTTAAAATTATCAGGCTTTTTCTTCTGCTTCGCTTCTTATTAGGAATTGATGCATCCTTAAACGATCCACTCATTTCATTTCAATGCCCTTGGATCAAGTTTTGTCTTTGTTCTGCAGTTTGTAGTTAAAAAACTGACATAATTTGAGTTGTTCCTTATTTATGTCTTTCTGATTTAAAGACTTCCGAGTTTCCTCCTCAGTTTCAGACTGTCATTGTAAACCATGTCCCAAATCCAGAATTGTAAGTTAGATTACACCGTCTTCTTGGCATATATTTGCCGTAATTTCATGATAGAATAATCTATCTGAAAGAAAATAAATTACTTAAGTGATAAAGTGTTTGCCACAGTAAGATGAAAACATTTTGGTAGTAGCTCAAGCTAGTTGAGGTGAATAGCAATGTACTTATATATTCTTTTGGAAGTTGGGTGAAATGTATTTTCAAAAAGGAAGATTATCTTGTTTCTCTTTTTTTTTCCCCTTGCCTTCCTTGCTGACAGAATATACACAACAACTTGTTCAAACTAAAGAAGAAATTCTTTTGCTTCTTGATATTTACACTTTGTGGTGAGACCTCCTTGGGAGCAAGGGTGCAAGATCCCTGTAACTAAAATTATTTTCTGCATCTTGCAATACCTAAAATGAATTTATTTGTTATTTTACTTCTGTGTATCCATATAATTTTTCATTAATTTTTATCTGAAAAAATCCTGTTAGATTAAGGAGATTAATACTGAAATTATAATCCTTATTATACTTTTGCTGAATCAGCTAGATGGACCTAAATTTGTCAACCTGGATATGATCATCATACAGTGCTGTTGTTCCTCTTATTTTCAATTCAGCTGCAAAAGACTTGCAGGGAATCTGGCTGCAGACTTGGGGAAGTAATAGGCAGCAACCTACTTTTACACTTAAAAAGGTTTCTTCCCAACAAGTCTCTTTTGTTGATATTTTTTCTTTCTTGCTGATTACCGTCAGACACAAAATAACTTTATCAAGTATTTCCTGCTTATCAAAAACTGAATATACTAAAATTTATGAAAAAAGAATTTATATTCAAAAATTTTAAAATGTGTTAGTAACCCATTGACGTTGGGGCTCCTTAAAAAAAACCTTCCTGTTTTGTTGTTTGCTTTAAATGTGGAGCGATAGGTTGTAAGACTTCATGAAGAAATACAGGCATGACTTTAAGTAATTTAAATGAAAGATGCAAAAATATAATGCAAAAAGTGCACAGTTCTTTTGGTTGACTCACTCTGAAGTTAGTTCAAGTGGATCTGATTATCTTTTGCCTGACTTATAAAAAGGCTTTCCTAGGAGGCAAAGAGCATGAAATTGAGGATTAGAAAACCTCTGATAGGCAAAGACCCAAGAAACCATAATCTCAAAAGAAGGCTTTAATTGAAATTTTGTATGAGAATTTTATTTGAGCTTCACTACATGAAACTAAATTTTAGTGAAAAGATTTATGTGACTAGGAATCACATATGTGTATGTATAGCAAAGGGTGGATTGCAGGTTTAAATGTTGCCAGTTTCAGACTGGCATTTTCCTTCATATTCAAACACACTCTCCTCAGTTGTTTTGCTTGTCATAGATGGGCAATTATATTGATCATGGGGTAAATGTAATTCCCTTCAAAGCACTCATTTAAGTAAATGTCACCTGAAAATGTCACCTGTTTTTTTTTTTTTTTTAAGGAAGAAGATGGTTTTGTGCTTCAGATTATTTTTCTGGGGGCTAAATGTTAGTAAAAGAACATGTTATGTTGTTTCCAGATAGTCAACAGTTTGATTGGTTGCATGCATTTATACAAAAACTAACAGATTGTTTTCATACAGGTTGCTCTTGAAATAGGAATCGCATTTTTAATTAGTAGAAGAGGTTGACATAATAGGGGGAAATACTGAGCTTTGTCATTATGGGTGGTAGTTTTATCCTGTACTTCTGTTCTCCTTATCTGATACTGTGCTTCGTGAGAATTTATGGCAGATTTGATTTCATAATGTGTGTGTGTATGCATTTATCTATTTTGATCACTCGAAAAGATAGATTTTTGTTGCTTTATCTTGCTCATACCTGTAATTCTCTGTTTRTCACTATATCCAACATATCAATTGGAAAACAGAAAAAACCCAGCTTTGAATGGTATTAAGTATGTTTTATTATTTTCCTTGGTACTCTTTAAATACAATGTAGAAAGGGTTTAAATGTTGTTTAAAAGAATTGTAGAAATTAAGATAAAAAGGAAATAAGGTATTTTATTTGTAGAAATATGTAAACAAATACTTTCTATGTAGATACATCATTGCAAATTCATTTCCTTGTATTACAAAGTACTGTGTTTATAAACTTCATAGAAGACTTCAATTGAAAGATAAATTTAGTTTGGAATGTAAAACTTTTTCTGTATAGCTGTCAGCAGTCATCTAAAAACCTGATAACAACAAATTAATTTAAACTTATGTTTCATCAGGCTGTATATCATGAAATTTGTTGAGACCATTTTCTCCAAAAGTATTTTCTGTTCATCATTTACAATGGACGTCCAGAGGGTTTCCTCTTCTGTTAGTTATCAGGAATAACAATTGTTTAAATATGCATACATAAATTTCAAGTATAGTATATCAGTATGTGCAATGTCTTAATGCTATTCAAGAAGAAGAAAATGTGAAAGTATGGTGTTGATCAATTTTCCTAGTCAGTTTTTGTCCTATTAAATTATTAATTTGTCACGGCAGTGAATATTCTGTAATGAAGATGCTGTTAAAAAAACACAAAGAACAGTAGCTCTTGACTCATCCGTGTATCCGTTTGTTACTAAGTCTTTTTCCTGATTGATAAGATGGACTCTGTTAAAGTTTGAAGTTTAAGTGTTACTGGTTTTTTTCTCTATTGCAAGATCAAGGATTTGATTTGTGGCTACTTCAGCCTTCAAAAGAGGAAAGTGCTGAATTTTTCTATTGGCTGTATTTGTCTACTTTGTAACAAATATTCATAGAATATTAATACACATAACAGCTCAACTGCTCCAAGATCTTCAGAAATGAAGGTCAGCTTGTTAAAGGAATTTCAACAGTTTTCATCAGAGGTTTTATTTCTGTTATCCTGCTTTCCCTGGCTCTATAGTAGTATATAAGTGAAACAAAAATCTTTTGACTCATTGTCTGCCCAGCACAGTGTTGTGTTTTTCATTTCAGCAAGCAGCAAATCATTCTACTGCTGAGAAAGCAGTGCCGCTGAAATGTTTTATGGGAGTGTTGTGCTTGGTATTTTATCTCCAAAAAGACACTAAATCATGAAACCAAATTAAATTTGTTTAACAAAGTATGTTTCCTTATTCAGAGGAGGAACCTGCTCCAAACAGTGTTGTTGAAGAATACCTTCAAGAGAAGAGAAAATATGAAGACAAGCGAAAGCAGCAGCCAAAGAAAGGAGTTTCTCGTGAAGATCAGGTAATAGTTTGATAGCCTAGGCAACAAAAATCCAGAAGAAAGTTCTGAATATATTTATCTCCTCGTTTATATAAAAACAGAGTTTTAAAATCTGTTGTTTCATTTTTCATTAAAAGAAACCTATTATTTGTAGAAATAGGTATTTTAATTACCCAGGTAGATAGGTAAGTGAATTTTCAATGTGTTTTGAAAGTGCTCCAGTTTAGTTACTAGAATCTTCTGAAAGGAAGTGCTAGTCATGAAGAGGTATCCTTGATTACATTTGTGAGGGTTTGCATCTCTTCACCTTATGCTCTCCTTGCCATAGGATAACACTGGGACAGAAATTTACATGCTTGGCATTTGTTCTGGTTGGAGTTTTTAACATTTTAAATTATGGTTTAAAATATTATATTCATCAGTACTTCTTGGTGTCATGAAATGAAAGAAATAGTTTCTAAGTACTGTAAAAAGAGAAGCTTTATTAAGTATAATTAAAATCCATTTTCAAAATCAGTTAGGAAGTATGTTGGCTTTAGTAGGCAAATAAGAGCAAAGTAAGGTTTGCTTTACAAAAGTATTTGTTTTTTTCTAAAATAGGAAAGGCTGAAACAGTTAAATATGTGAAACTGCCTATGAGGTGGAAATACCATCAACTTAAATCTGTGCAGTACATCAAAAACATTGGTTTGTAAGTGCATGGCAGTTCAGCTATGAAGATGTTCCTGTTCACATGTTGAATCTAGAAGAGATTGGAAACTTGAGGCTCAGTAACTTMAAAGCATCATTTGGCAAACCTTTATATATGCAGCAAGCTGATTTAGCTCTAAACTCAGATGTTTATGGAAACTTTGTACATTCAAAATCCCRTTATCTTTGAATCAGAGAGTACTAAAGCTCTGTTGGCAGTGTGGATCAAGGGACTGAAAACCACGTCTAATGAATTTATACCAGCCCTGTCCTGGATATCACAGGGAAAAAAAATGAGATGATAGGGACATATATTCTAGTAGATCTTAATTTTATTTATGTAACCCTGCTGGCAACTATTCAATGATAATAAATCAAGTTCTTTGTAATCCATTTCACTTGTGGAGAGCCTCTTCTTGTAATTGATCCTACAGCACAATCAGTGCAATAATTAAGGGAGAGGGAGAAAAAGTACATCTCCTTAAAATTCTAGATAATGAAGTCCTAGCCCTGTTATTCTACAATGGTCCAATTACAAAGTTATTTGAAGCAGGGTATAACATCTCATGACTCACGGCAAAAATGCCTACTAAGATATTTCAAAATTATTTCTGTCATCAGGTTCTATTCACAGGAATGCTGGCATTGGAGAAGATTAGACAAGACACAAGGAATGTSGCTTTTGTTGGTCATAATTTCATTATTAAAGGGTCAGTTTGTTTCTTTCTGATGGCCTGGGCAAAGATTTGCTGTCTCAGGTGTTGCAAGTGTTTGTTCGCAGTAGTATGGAAGGTTATAGAACTAGAATCATTTGCAGGCAAATATCTTTAAGACTTTTTTCTCTCACCTTACACAGAAGATTAGACAGAAAATGAAGAAAGTRAATGCAAAAAAAGTCCTCCAAAATCTGCCCTTGGCAGTGTTAAAATATGTTTTTGAAAGAATTCAAAAGCCAGGAAACTCCTCAAGTTAAGATTGCTCCCAGAAGGAAATTTGATTCCAGTGAACACTTTTGGTATTTCCTATTTCTGTTTTCTATTCTTATTTAGTTTTTATTCTTTTAAATTTGAAAAACTTGACCAAACAAAACTACACAGCCATACAGAGGTGTTTTACAACATAAGTTGCCAACCTATCACCTACAAATCAAATGAAGCCTGCCACATAAATTCAGTAAGGCACTTATTCCCTGATGCTTTAGTTTTCAGGACTGTCTCAAGTATCAGGGGGAAAAAAAAAAGCTGTGGGCTGTGCAAATTATTTATACACTCTGCCCCTTTTTTTAAGAGCCCCCCCCCATCACAAGGCTCAGGCATACAATTCTTTTATAATCAAACTCTTATTTCAGATGATCAGAAACAAGAACTGTGGTATGGTCTTCAGGTGTCATATGAGATCTGGTAACTTCATTGTATCTTAAAGATCAGGCAATGTCAATATGAGACAATCTCAATTCAGTTTGAGAATAAATAGGAAATCTAACTTWGTACGAGCTTCATGTATGCAGCATAAGAACCTGTATCTGCAGAATTAGTTAAGATGATTCATTTTATTTGAGACAAAAGCTTTGATTTTTTTTCAATATCCACACATAATTTAAAAGATCATCAACATTAAGTATATAAGTATCAATTAAACTGGATCTTCAAAGCTTGAACAGTTTGTAATTTGTATAGTGGATTGCTCTAAAAGAGGACAGTAGCAGGTCCAAACAGTAAAATTCATGTCAGCAGTGTTATTTAATCAGCTGTTTTATTCTGTAAGTAGCCACAAGTTTTTGTTCCGTAAATATGCATTTTTATTTCACTAGATGGTGACAGAAGTGCTTTTCATGCCTGAAAAGCACGTGTTCTCAGTGCCTCAGCATTGCCTCTGCTCAGCACTCACACAGCTCTCCATGCAGTCCCACTCTCACACCCACCTCCACCTCTCACTCTCTCACTTGCCTCTCTAAAATGTTTCTTCCACATTCATGTGACAGATCACTCTCATTATACTGTTTCTMAAAATAATAAAAATTTTGTATATGGCTGTTGGTGTGTAGAAATATATAACTTCTCTTAAACCRTGTGTTTCATTTCAGACACTGGCATTGTTGGACCGATTTAAATCAAAGTTAACCCAGGCGATTGAAGAGACTCCTGAAAATGAGCTTTCCGAACCTGATGTAGATAATGATGAAGGATGGTGAGTTTTTTTCTTGTTTGGATTTCTGTGTTTACTGATGGAAACCTTACTGTATTAACATAGTCTTACTGTTAAGCATATATTTGARTATCTGAAAGCATCAAATGTGAAGGAAGCTGCTGCATTAGGAGTCAGCTAAAACGYACTGGTTTTGTACTCTGAAAATTAAGGCATAAGAGTAGAAGACGTAGAGCTTTTTGTAATTTTAAGACCTAATATTCTGTGTTGGGAGTGGTAAGTATTTTTAAATGGTGGATGAAGTGAGGATRGACTGACTCATCTGAGTGTAGGGTGACCCCAAGAAAGTGGGGTATTAGTGAAATCAATAAAGCCCTGCAGAAGTTATTGCCTCAACACCTCCCAGTCAAGAAAGCAGTGTGTACCTTGTTGTGTCATGTTCACCTTTCACACAAACTATCCACCTTAAGTAAGCAAGGGCATAAAAATCAATATGATTTGAAGAGTGATCTTGAAGTCCTAGGCTTCATGCTATTATCTGCTCCTAAAAATATGCATAATGCAAAAATGCATAAAATGCCTGGAAAAAAGAGAATRCTAGCAAAAAGGTTTTGTAAGGATAGGTCATCTCCATTTATAAAGCAAACACTCCACCTGGTCCAACAAAATAGGCTGTCTCTGCCTACAGTTTTTTCCTTAGTTGTGTGCATAAGCCATCAAGCTGCAGCAAAACTACCAGTGAGGTAGAAATTTAAGACACTTCCTGCCTGGCAAGWGTCTTAATAAAACCAGTATTTCTGTATCTCAGATGACTTTAAATAATTTTATTGCTTCTTCAAACCATGTTTTCTTCCTTCATTGTGTCTTTTCCTACCTCAGGCTCTTGGAAGGTGAGAGATAACATRCAATGTGTATTTAGAGATCCTTGGATTTCACTGATATTTTGAAATCCTTCTGAGCTAGCAAAGCATTTCTAAGTTCTCCAAGAATTATAGAGGAGTTAGTTCAGTTGGAAGAGACCTAGAGTGATCATCCAGTGATCATCCTGTCCAACTGCCTGATTAATTGAGGCCAAAAACTACAGCATTTTGTTAAGGGCATTGTCCAAATGTCTCTTGAACCCTGACAGGCTGGAGACATTGATCTCTTCTCTAAAAAACCTGTTCCAGGGTTTGACCACCCTCTTGGTGAAGGAAAACTTCCAAATATCTTGTCTAAATCTCCCCATGTCCAGTATAAGATTCCATTATCTGGCCGTTTATGAACTTGAAGGACTGAGCTTCATGTCAGATATTTTCTTGTCACAGTAATACAACTAGTCTTTTAAATATTTTTACAGAGTTCAAACAGATCCTTCCTATTTCTTTCTCAGTAACTATTGATACCTAATTGTCAAAAATATCATTGTAATTCGTACTGAAGAAGAAGTGTTGCAATTTCAGCTTATGAAGTTGTACTTTTATTCAGAAAATAATATTACATTCAGAATTGCACTAAAACAGATACTTAGAATAGTATGAAATTACATAATAGACTAATAATTAATATAATATTAATTTTTCAACTCAATAAGTGCCTATTAACTTTACAGACAGATGAGACAATCTGTTTTCAAATAATTTGTTTTGAAGCCAAGTAAACTGTAAAATGTAAGTTATACAAATTGGCTATAAACACAACATTAACAAAGCAATGAATTCTTTTGAAAGCTATTAATGATTGTTAAAAACACTTGGAAAGTTAAATTGCCTATTTTGGATTAAGAGTTTACATTTTCAGTACCTTTGTTGTATAGGAATATTTGAGATAACTGTAATGACTTTAGATTTTAAAATTCTTTCTTAATTTGAATCTACTTCTCAAAAGACAGTGATTTTACTTAATTTTATTTTTATGAAATATGATCTCTGTATGGCATATGCATGTATGATACACACAAACTTTGTGATTCCTCCTGGCCATTTTGTAGGTCATGGTGCCTGTTTTTATGGGAAGTGAAAGCCTGCCAGTATGCTTTGCTCTACTGTCAGGGTGTGTTATCTGAGATAAAATGATTGCCTCTAAGACATTTTTATGTGTCCGTGAGTGGCCACACATTGAGGTATAATTTTCATTCTCTGTCAAGATAGAAACCATTACCAATTTGTTATGTTTTCTTTTATTTGGCTAACTTCTCTCTGCATATTTGGCTGAGCTGCTGTATTGGCATGGCTCATAGCAGACGTTTGGGCACTTTTCAGCAGCCTTCTACTTTTTATGCAATAAAAAATGAAGAAATATGACTCTATTGTAAACAGTGTGTATGGTGTTTGATAATTATTACCAGATTTTACTGTCTAAGAACACATCTGAGGAAATGTTGTGAAGAGTGCTGAAGAAAAATGCATAATACTAAGTTTTAATGTGGAATATCAGAATCTTTGCTGAGACATTTTATTGCAACCTCTACTGCTGTGTGAGAATGATTATCTCTATATTTGTCTGCAGCAATCAAAATCCAATTTCCCTTACAGAATTCCAGAGGATCATAATAAACATGGTGTCTTCTCAAATAAGGGGTCTAGAATAAAAATGCCTGGCAGTGAGTGAGTGGACAGAATTTTGCAGATCTGGGTACCTTAGAAAGACATTATTGGTCTGAGTTCTTCCAGTTCTTTTCTTTGTGGCTTCATGTTGAGAGCTAGTGCTTTCCTCTTAATAATTTGTTAGATGTTAGATGTAGTTGTTCTTTATTTGCTTGCAATCCAAGTAAGAAAGAGTCAGATGCATTACTTGATCMTTCTCTTTCTTAAAGGTTGCATAGAGTGCTGCAGAGGTAGGTAGAGGTTATTCGGCAGAACTCAGTTACCCACTCTTGGCRTAAAATCTTATCCAAGAAGATTTTTTCACAAAATGTAGGTGAGGTCAATTGCAGTGGCAGTGAGGTGTCATCTGCTTAGAGACTACTGTTATGAAAACCAAATATGTCATAACAGAAGACCCAGCTGAAATAGTTCATCTATTTGATGCTTGTCATTTGGATTACTGGAGCCTAAATTTGAAAGAAAACTCTGCACAGCCTACACTTAGACAGAGCACTGCTGGCTGCTCATCTTGTTTAGGACTTAGACTGCTATATGCATGTAGTTGCATGTGTGTGATATCCATTCAGGTAGTACTGACACTTCAGGGTTCTGATGATAGTATCAAATAGTAGTCAAACTGTAGTCAAACTCAAATTTCAGTGCAGAAATTGTTACAGCAATTGCAGATAATGAAACCAATGATGCAGATCCTATGAACATGAAAAAATATTTTCATAGAGAGAATCCAGCATGGGATAAAAAAATTCTGATGCAATCAACATTCAAAAACTGATTGTTTCAGTTAATTTGTGCAAAGTATTCTTCTTCAAGTAGGACAAGAGTGATGCTTAGGACTCTGAAACGCCTTTCTGTGAAGTAATTCTGAGAGTTCCAAGTGCTTCTTTCAAAACGTAAATCTGAGACTAGGTACAGCGCTCAGCTAATTCTTTGTCCATGTTGATTGGAAGGATTACTTTATTTGTCACTGTATTTTTCATGCCTGGTTTCCAATCCTTTCTAAGTCCTTTCCTGTTGAATGTTGCCTAACTTAGCTCTGTCCTGTACCCATTCTGTTGGATCACTCTTACTGGAATTTAGGCACTGCACTTTCTTTTATTGTATCCCATTTTTCATATTCTTCTTTTTGCCAAAATCACATTAATTCAAAATATTCCAATAAACATTCATATTGTACATATGTTCTGTAATTATATTCTTCTCCAGTACAGTCATGAGAAGTGAACTAACCAACCCTTACCACATTAAACTTTTCACTTTTACATTAAACTAYGGCTGTCTACTCCTAAAAACAGGGTTCTCCAGTTGAATTTTTAGCAACCTTGCATACTTGTGAAATGTAAGGCATATATCTACACTTTGTCGTACGGAATGCTGGTCTTTGTGGAAGGAAGAGATTCTCTGCTCTAAAAATCCATATACCATGTCCTTAACCAAAATTCTGGGCTCTATTACACTCTTCTCTCTGATTTTTTTAAAACAAATGGGGGCTTCCTGAATCTTCAGGGTTTACTGACATACTGAAGTATGTCTAGTGCTACGACAGCTTTTGAGTTGGTGGAATTTTCTGTAGTAAAGAAGTACCGCATTCCTTTTTGAAAACTCACCTGGTTGCCAAGTCAATTTAGCATACACCTGTGTAGGATCTCCATTATTTATGCCATCTCACAAACAAAATGCACTAAAAGGTTCAGGAATCAAGGCCAGTACCGTTCTCAAATTTAGAATTTAATTGTCATTGTCAAGTAACTGAATACTCAAAACTGTCAAATATCATACATTGCAGATAAAACCAGTTATGTTTACAGTACCTTACAAGACATGGAAGACACATAAGAAGTCATGATGGAGGGATTTTTTTGATTGATTGAAAAGACATTCCCATTCAGTCCTTGGGACTGATGCTCCTCAGTATCTTTATCAGTGACAGACACAGTGAGACTGAGTGCACCCTCAGTTCRGATGCCATCCAGGGGAACCTGGAACTTGAAAAGCGGGTTCATGTGAACCTCATAAAGTTCAACAAGGCCAAGGGCAAAGTTCTGCACCTGGGCCAGCTGGAGTACAGACTGGAGAAGAATTCACTGAGAGCAGCCCTGCTCAGAAGCCCTGGGGGAGCTGCTGGGTGAGAGGCTGGACATGACCCAGCCATGAGCACTCCCAGCCCAGAGAGCCAAACGTGTCCTGGGCTGCATCCAGAGCAGCGTGGGCAGCAGGGCCAGGGAGGGGATTGTGCCCCTCTGCTCTGCTCTGYTCAGACCCCACCTGCAGGGCTGCATCCTGCTCTGGGGTCCCTGCACAGGAAGGACATGGACTTTTTTGAACTGGTCCAGAGAAGAAACACAGGAGTGATCAGGAATACCACTCCTGTGAGAAAAGTGAGAAAGATGGGGTTGTTCAGGCTAGGTAAGAGAAGGCTCTGGAGAGATCTGATTGTGGTAATTATTTCAGTAATTAAAG